ATTTTATATAATTTTTTAATGTCAAATGTTTATTTAAAAATAGAAAAGGATGTATTTAATAAACACTTTTAAAAGCTTTCTGTGTTTTATGTTAAAATCAGTGGATGGTGTTTAAGATGTACTTAGGACTATATTTATCCAAATTATGCCTGCTGAGGATTTTGGAATGAGGTTACAGGTGATTCCTAAGTGTGTGTGTGTGTGAGAGAGAGAGAGAGAGAGAGAGAGAATCCTTCTTCCTGCCCATTGGTAACCCTATTAGTTGCCCAACAGGCTTCCTACCATTTACTGCAGCTCTCATCCTGTTTGGGTCAATCTCTAACCCAGCCGTCTTCCTATTCCCTACAATCTCAGGTCACCAATCAGTTCTCCCTGTAAAGATAACTGATAATACATCTTGTGAGGTTATCAGGGATGAGATTGAGCCTGTTGGTCCTGAGGAAGGGAACAGCTACATTCTTGGTCCTCTCTGAGCTTGGTTGTTTGCTTGCAAACATTTCATTACTCAGCTAGATGATGTTACCTAGTTGGAGTAATGAAATGTCTGCAAGCAAACAACCAAGCTCAGAGGGCACCAAGAACTCCATAGTTCAACCCTGATCTACAGAAATTCTCTTGTATTGGAAGGGAACAGTATTATGAGTTCTCAGGATTGATCAGACAAAATACAGCACACAAGGTGAATCATTCTGAATCTTTCATTCTTAGTAGTAATAAGGGTAAAAAAAATCAGATTCTCTGACATAATAGTCTCCAACAGGTAACTAAAGGGGATTTCAGCAAATAAGTGGACCTACAGTTCTGTCCTCTCTCCTGCAACTTTCTTCAAAGAAAGTTAACACAGAAAAAAGTATGATCTAACTGGTCTACAATTATAGAGCTATCTGCTGACAATAGCACTGCTGGTGTTGAAAGGACAGAGTGTCTATTCTAACTTATAGTAACTACTATATTCCCCAAAGAGTTAATTAAGGGCTGCAGCTAAACTTAGCTGACAACTCCTGAGGTTAGCAGTGCTTGATTATTTTTTCTCATCTCTTTAGTTCCTTCTCCCTCTGGATATCTCTTCAAGGAAGAAAATATCTGATCCTCTTTCTTCTCTGGCTATGTCTGCAGGATAGATAGATCCCACACTATCATCCTCCTTGCATAGCAATCCCTATGCCAATTCCTCTTCAGTGGGCTTGAATCATCCTGGAACCAGCATCTTTTCTGCAATCCAAGACACTCTAATTCCATCTTTGCTTGCTAGCCCTTTTTTTTCTTTTTTCTTCAACTCAGCTCCCTTTTGCCAGCTTCTTAGACCATTTCCATCTCTCCCCCTGTGAAATATGTTCTCTGTGTAAACCCTTTATTTTTCCAGATTCAGGTATCAGCCACAAATACAGAATGTCTAGGTTGTCATGTGACAGAGCAGATGGAATTTATCTCCTACATTCTGTTACCATCAGCCCTTGGTGAGATCAGCTCTGCCACCTATAGGCTGGATCCCTGCCCTTCCTATTTGGTGAAATTTTGGTCAGGGTGCTGATAAATGCATACTTGATTGAGAGATGGTGCCACTTTCCTTGAAAACCACTCAACAAATTTGGATAACTAAATCTTCAACTCTCCATTTTTGAGGAAGTTTGTTAGGAAGGTGATGGGTCTTCCACCACAAAGGGCTCTGGAGGAAATGTACTATCTGGTGGTTTTCAGTTGGGATTCGGGCTTCTGCATGGCACCAAAGCCATACTGATTGTGCTTGTAGATGGTCTTAGATGGGAAAGGGATGGAGGAGTATTGCCCTCCTTGTCCTGCTTGACTTTTCAGTGTCTTTCAATACTATCAATCGTGGTATTCCAGACTGCCTTCATGGGTTAAAATTAGGGACACTGTTTTGCAGTGGTTCTTCCTAAGGGCAATTCCAGATCATCCATTGGCATAGGGTAAGGGTATCATCAATATGCTGATGACATACAGTTATTCATTTATTTATTTATTTATTTATATTTATTTATTTATTTATTTATTTATTTATTATTAAACTTGTATGCCGCCGATCTACCCCAACGTGTGACTCTGGGCAGCTCACAATAACAAAAAAGGAAAAAACACCAATCCCTCCAACAATGGC